ATGGTCTGGGCGCACCGACCATTGTGGGCGTAGTAGTAGTAGTAGTAGTAGTAGTACTAGTAGTAGCAGCAGCAGCAGCAGCAGCAAAAGTAGTAGAAGTAGTAGCGGTAGTAGTAGTGGTGATAGTAGTAGTAGTAGTAGTAGTAGTAGGAGTAGCAGTAGCAGTAGCAGTAGCAGTAGCAGTAGCAGTAGCAGTAGCAGTAGCAGTAGCATTCATTCCCCACGCAGCGAAGTCTCGTCCTCGCCTAACGAGCTGACAAATACCGCCGTTGTTCAGCAGTATTCGGATCTGAAGGGTCAAAAAGAGTTTGGTGCATTGCAGACATGGATTACTGATGACAATCAAGCGCCCACGAGTGCCACCATCACTCATTCCGAAGCAGTTTACCTGCTGTGGCTTCGGCAGGTTTATGATACTGAGTGAGCAGGATTGGAGTCGTAGACTGGAAAGAGTAGCAGTAGCAGTAGCAGCAGCAGTAGCAGTAGCAGCAGTAGTACTGTAGCAGTAGTACTGTAGCAGTAGTAGTAGTAGTAGGAGGAGGAGGAGGAGTAGTAGTAGTAGTAAGAATAATAATAACAATAATAATACTAAATAGTAGTAGCGGTGGGCCTCGGAACTTTGTTACAGTTTCGGAAACCAGAAGGGCAGACAGGGGAAAAGCGGAGCAGGACGAGACCGGAAGGGTGACGATTGAAACATGAGAAGCAGAAAAGCGGACAAGCAGAAAAGCGCACGAGCAGAAGAGCGAAGCAGAAAAGCAGAGAAGCAGATGGGCAGAATCAAAAACAAGCAGAAATCGACAATCTGACACAAGCAGAAGGCAGAGCGACAAAACACTTGCAAAGCCTAGAAAACCAAAAAAAAAATAGCAAAACACACAAACAGTCCGAGCAAAAATCCCCTCCCCCAAATAAGTCGAAAGTACACACCCTTATGCGAGCATGTAACGCCAGCCTGGACTGCGGCCACCTTGCGGATACGCCGATGTGACAGCATCGGTGCCTTTCATTTTCTTCTTGGAGCTCAGACGGCAGGCAGACACAGGCAGGCAACTGGACCCTCCAGGTTCGCGGCGAGTGTATCCGATTGTCATGTAGTTGTGCCGCGCATAGCCAGAACTGTCCACCGCACTGTCCTCGGCCCAGCAGTACCTCAGCTGCTCAGCATTGGCAAAAGCTAAAAACATCTCTTGATTCCACCTAGTGATGTGTCGCATAGTTGGAGTCAAACTGCACGTCGTACTGAACGGCTTCTGCGATAGGCTCCACTTCGTCATCACGACTTGTGGACAATGGGTCCACATTCTCCAGCTGAGTGATTTGAATCGTAGAATGGCTAAGTCCGTCGTTCTGTGCTGGCCAATTGGCTGTCAGTATCCGATTGATGTGCATGTCAGACGGAGCCTCACCAGAGTCGGATCGGGCTGCTCGGCAGTAAGCAGTTCCCGGTTCGTTGAGCTGCAGCGTGATGACTATGCGGTCATTGCTGGCAGTGGGGTCCTGAGTCACGGCACTTGATCTAGCCACGACGTGCTCGGCTCTTGAAAAAAGCTCGGCATCCAGTCCTCTATGTGCAGCAAGGTAAAGCTGGGAGGTGTCTCGTCCAGCGTTGTGATGTTGCCAATCAGATTGGAAAAGGCTTCTGCATCCGATAAGGAAATTCTCATCGCGTCCCCTGGAGCCACGAAGTTTGGCGACTGCACCAAGGCACGCGTTGCCTGCAAGCACAAGGACCGCCAAGGAAGGAGCATGGCACGGCTTGGCACACTCCAAGCATGCACTTGCTGCGTCACTGCGCACCTGCAATGGCCAATCATCTTGTGCAAAGCAGAAGACGTTGTACGATTGTTCCGTTTCCAAGGCGTAGTTGGTCAGGCCGTCACGGGTAACAATTCGGTCCACCTCTGGTGACACAAGAGGAAGCTCTCAGCCACAAGTCACCGCAATTTTTTGGCATTTGCAGGCAGCCTTCACTTCAACGTCTTTGTATGACTCAGAGACTTCTGCGCTCGACGCCGCCTGGAAGATGCGATTCTTCCAGGCACAAGCAGGTAGCAGCACTGTCCCATCCCTGCCTGTAACGGCTGCTGGTCCTTGATGAACCTCTCGTAATCACATCCTACAGTGATGTTTGCGGCCATGTCATCGAGACTGCAGAAGGACGCGTTGTCAGTCGCCAGAGGAGCACACCTTAACGCAGAGTGTTCAGACTGCCCACTCAACGTTAGGAAAACGCGCCCTTCCTCGAGGCCAGGACCAGATCGTGCCTGGCTCGGACAGCTGCAGGCGCAGGTGGATCGTCGCTTGGCTGGCAGCATAGGCATCCACGAGGAGAAGGGCCGGCGGCGTTGCGTCGACGACCCAGACACCCGGCGTCATCCCACCTTCGGGGCTGCTGGGAGAAGCCACGGCCTTGGAACCGAAGTCTGGGCGAAAGCAAGGATGAAACCCTCCTGGTCTAAGGCACCGGCCCTGGAGACGTAGTCATGTTGCATCCAGTTTGCCCGAGCTAAGCCTTTCCCATCAACGGCGCTGTCCTTCGCCAAGCAATACCTGAAATGCCAGAGTGCCGTTGAAGATCTTCGGCGCGGACAAAACAACAGGCAACGCTGCTCGCAAGTCATCGCAAGAGACATAGCTACTGCCACACGCACAACCTGTCTCAAGGAGTTTCAGCTGGGGGGCACATCGTACTGCGTCGCTTCACGTATAGGTTCACTCTGCAGGTTGAGCATGGTCAGATTTTCCAGATGTGTCATGACAATCATGCCGCTGCCCAAACCGTCATTGCTTGCCGACCAGCCAGCACTGACTATGCGGTTGATAGTCATGACTGTGGCCGTTTCACCGGAGTCGGATCGGGTGGCTCGACCTTGTAGAAAGCTATCCAACAAATTTCACGTCAACACCCGTGCCCTTGGACTACAACTGAGCCAACGGCAATATGCCGTGCCAGCCTCGTTGAGAGAAAACACCACCACAATCCTGCAAGCTCAAAATAAGTGCGGGAAGTCTGCTCACAACTGAAGACCCAGATCCAGCCTGTCATTCTGCAGAGTGGGATCTGCAATCGACAGGGTAGTGAAGTTCGGCGGTGACTCGTCCAGGGTTGTCAGCAAGCCGATGCCAGTCCTTCTCAGCGCTCTCTCACAGGCCAGAGAGGGATGCACGAGATGCAGAGAGCCTCAAGCGCTCGGAGTCATCGAAAGAGGCGTTGTTGGGGCTGGTCACCGCCACGAAGCTCACAGAATTGGTCGCCGCGTTGGCCTGTCACACAATGGGGACCCTCACAAGCCAAAGGCACCAAACAGCAAGCTAATTGACAGCTTAGAATGTTTTGCAGGTCTTTGCTTCCAAACTCGATTCACCTGCGTGGGCCAGTCGTCCTCAGCGTAGCAGAAGATCTCGTATGCCGTCTCAGGGGAGAGGAGGCTGGCCACGTGTCCCTGGTGCGGATGCAGAAGGTTCATGTTGATGGAGACGTCAACGAAGGCTTCATGAACATCCGCGCGGAAGTCGTTGGACTGTATCAATGTGATCCAGAAGCAATCGGTGCTGGAAGACTGATTCTGCACTTCAGAGCTCTGGCACTGCGTCGCATCGCCCGAGGTGTCACCTGCGGCGTGCGAGCTCATCCCAAACGAAAATCAGACAACACCGACGGACGGACGACACCGACGGACGGCCTGCCTGGCTGGCACCAAACCTTTGTGCCGAAGCGCGGAGCAGCGAATACACAAGCGAAAGACCGAGACCGAGGGCAAAGCCGTGCCAGGCTCGTCCAGCTGAAGCGTCACTTGCAGCTCTGACGAGGAGACGGCCTGGTGTCCCGAGGTCGAGAAAGGGAAGGACTTTCAAACAACCCTCATTCCGCGGTGCCTCAGCACCGACTAAAATGATCTGTGGAGGCGTGGAGTCTACCACCCAGACACCTCGTGTCCAACCTGCAGGGACAGGCCTACTGTGCCTATACATGACTTCGGGACCTTATGGCTCAAAGCACCTCCGGCTGGGGAGGTACTGGAATTCACTTCCGTGATCGCATAGCTCTGCGCCATGTAATTCGGTCTTGCCAGTCCAGCAGTGTCGACGGCACTGTCCATAGCCCAGCAGTAGACGTCATACTGTTGTGCCTCCAAAGACAAGATCCTAACTCTTTTCGCTCTCCGGCTATGGAACGCTACAGTAGTGTTCGGCGCCTCTGTGTTCCCCTTTTCCTCCGCAGCTACATTTCACCTAATGCAGAGTCGGGTGGCCTCCAGAATGGGCACCGTTTGGTCATCCCGATTTGTGAGGAGCGGATCCAGGTTCTCTAGCTTGCTGATCTCGATCGTTGCTGGCAAACTAGACCCATCATGAGTCGATGACCAGGCAGCTGTCTGAATCCATGCGATGTACATGTCGGCACCGGTTTCACCAGAATCAGATCGCGTGGCTCGACAGTATGCGGTTCCAGGCTCGTTCAGAGCGAAACTAATCTCAATGCGATCCGGGAAATTTGTCGGATCCTGAATGCTCAGCTGAGTAAAAGTAGGCGGGGTCTCATCGAGTGTGGTCACATTGCCAAGGCCCTGATGAATCACGATAACCTGGCTGGAATACACTCCGGTGTCGTAAGTCATCTTGTTCGCGGCAGCCCCAAGACCTTAATCAGCGGATCTCCTTTAGCCGGCACCGCAGAGACGTGCCTTGACACCAGCAACATTACACAACTGATCGGCTACTGAGTGGTTTGGTCGAGAGTGAATGTACTGCCGAAGTAGGTGCAACAAACACCCTCGCTTCACCTGCTGTGGTCTCACTCGATTCGGCTTGCCTTGCTTTGGGGAAGTCCCCTCAAGATTAAGGCAAAATGTCACGGGCCCTAGTCCCCCAGAGGCAAGTAAGGTACGGACCATCGTCCTCGTCATCTTCTGCATAGCAATACAGGTGGCTGTATTCGGTTTGCTCCGAAAGGCCTTTCAGTACGACAATCACGTCCTCATTGTGTCTCCAAGTTCGCTCGTCCCTGTACGATGCTAAAGACGTCATGCCATCCAAGGATGTGTCCTGTCAGCATCCATACAACAGCTCGGCATGCGACCATGCCAAGCAGTGCACGCAGTCCTCAAGGTCATCCAAGTCGTAGACCCAAAAGCTTCCACAAGCTACGCCCAGAGAGTCCACGCATCTACTTCTGGCCCAGTCTTTGATCATCTCTTCGAAGTTTGTTGCATTCAGAGGAAATCCCAGCTCATCAGTGGGAGGCAGGTCGCTTGGCCAAGCCTTGCAAACGACACAAAGCTCTTCCAAAAAAGCATCCCTGGATCGAGACAAAAGAAGGGAATCAGGCGAAGTAAGGGCCCACACCGCACACCACAAGCGCACGCCCTCGTCAGCCTGGCCGAGGTCGCAGACGAAAGGCAGAGGTTCCGGCTTCCCTCTCCCTTTCCTCTCCTTCGGTATAAACGCAGAAAGATGCCACTAGCAGGTCCCATAAAGTTCAGGAACCACTACTCGCAGGCCTGGATGGTGAGTTGAATCTGATCTCGAGCAATGGACCGAACGTTCACCACTCGCAACTGCGGGGGCGTTCTGTCCTGCCACTTGGAAGCTCAGTGGCCCAAGCTGCTTACGACAGCTCTAGAAAAGCCTACCTCTGGCTACACCGCGCTTTCTCTTCAGTTCAGTTGCATCTCCGCATGCACCAAAAATGGCAAGACATGTCAGCAGCGAGTCCAGCGTGCGGATGCTCGTTCGAGTTTCTGCGATCGCTTCGGAACCGATACCTGCACCATAGGCACAGCCATTGCCTTAATGCACAGCAAACAGTGTACAAGGCACACCAGACCTCCCAATGACCGCCTGTCTAACATAGTTCTGGCACTTACCGAAGGAGCTAAGCTCGCGGCATGAATCATCTTCTGCGTAGCAAAAGACCTGGCAGGTAGATGCGCAGAGCCGGCACGAGACTCAGATGTTATCTTCATGCTGGTGATGCTTGTTGTCTCTGTGGATTCACACTCATGTTATGAGCCGATGGTGCCCGCACGGATTTCAAACAGGGCACCAAGAAGCTGCAACCAGTTGTTGGTCCTAAAAAACGCCTCTCCGAGGACCTTTGCCCGGAGAGCCGACATGCCGCTGAAATTGGGCACAAAGCAGGGGCAGCAGGGGTTGTGGGAGGAGCTGGACTCCCACATCGGACGCAGGTATCGATGTGATTTCTACCTGCTCATCCCCCGCACCCCAACCTTTTGGTTTCATCATCCACCATCGACCGGAGTGTGATCAAGCAGCCAATGCGGAACGCTCCAAGTTTCTGTTGCTCTGACCAAAGTGATGCCTGGATGTTTTTGTTCGAACGAGCCTGGTAAAGAAAAAGCCCTTCCGTCACTCACGGCACATTATCGTGGCTGTTGTGATCGTACTTCTATGGTTTCTACGGTTTCGTAAGAGGTTTCACCCTTTGACAGCCTCGTAGTCTGTTCCTCGAACCAAGGGCACGGTGGCATCTTCGCCACTGAGCATCACCGTCGCTGTGTAGGGCTCCGTTGCCATGGCGGCGCTGAAGCCCGCGCTCAGAATCTCCAGCACTGTTGGAGCATCGCCACCGCCATGCACGGGCTTGCACCAGGCCTGGGCATCGGTACAGCGAACACGAGTCGAACATGGCGACGTATGCGACGCGTGAATGCTTTGCTGAGCGACTGAGCCCAAAGCAGTACCGGCCTCCGACAACGACACGAGAACGGTAATCGCCGTCTCGGACGGTGCTGCGGGGTTTGACACGTTGATGTTCGGAGGCGTCAAGTCCAGTGTCGTTCGAAGCCCGACAGCATCCTCACGAGAAAAGTGCACCCTGCTCTGCTACTGCGCTGCAACACAAGTTGGGACTTAAACAGTTCCTAGACTGGCACACTGCATGACCACAATGGGTGCATGCTGCATTGGCGCATGACCGCTGGTCCTTGAATGCTATGACAGATGCGAGGCTGCTCTGTTGCGGCTGCAGCCCAGTTTCATTGAAGAAGACCTAAGGGTGCTGCATGCCTTCCAGCATGCATCTGTCTACCTGTCTGTGCATGCCAAGGTCGCAGCAGATGTCGTCACACTCTGTGCTTTCGTGGGCCAGTCATCCTCCGCATAGCAGAAGATCTTGTAGCCCGTCTCCTGATCTTTTTTCAAGTGATTCCCTGCAGACACATCTCTACACCTTAAAAGAAAGAACCCAGAGCCCGTCTCCGGAAGGAGCGGATCTTCTGATGCCGTGTTCTTCCGCCAGATGCGATTGATTTCCACTTCGACGTACTCGAAAGCTGTGTGGACGTCAGCGCTGAAGGTGCTAGGGGCATTGGAGCCCTTGACAAAGCTCTCCCAGTAGCAAGCATCGAGGAGATTGGAGCTGATTTCGTCTTCGTTGCAATACGGCGAGCCTAAGGAAGCATTGGCCGGCTCGGCCGCTTGACCTCAGCGTTGCTAGTCCGTGAGCTGCGAACTGCAAACGAAAGCAAGGCTCAATTATGGGATCATGACGAAAATTGATGAAGGCTTGGTTCCGGACACCAAACCGTCCCTGGTTCCGACAGCTGCAGAGTAACCTGCAGCGTGTCCTGCACAAGATAAAGATCGCCCCGCGATCTCCTACTCAGTCCCTCTGTGCTCACTTGTGACGTCACTTCATTGCAATCCTCCGTCTTCACACCACCTGCCCGAACAAAATACAACGTCGGAGGAGTGCTGTCAGTGATCCACACAGCTTCCTGAGCGACTTCAAACATTGAGATTCTGCATGCGCACTCCACAACCGCTTGGACAGCAAACTCAAGATGGGGTCGAGGCGATCTTGCCACCGCTTGGCGTGGTGTCATTACCGACAGCCGTCCCCACATACGCATGCCTGTACGAAGCAAGCTCCACATGTCGACGGGCAGATAGTTGCTGCTGTGCTTTGCTCAACTATCTCACGGCCGCCAGGTTGCGACATAAAATTCGCCCTGGAAAACCCCTGCATGTCCGTTGCGCTGTCCCTCGCCCAGCAATAGACATCGTACTGCTGTGCCTCCCACGGCTTTACTCTGCTTGGCAAGTGACTGACAACCGGCAACTGCTGTGCTATTCCTGCCTCATCAAGTGGCTCCAGTTGATCCAGCATAACATTCTCAATGCCGATTATTTCGATTGTGTGGTCGCTGCCACTGCCATCGTCTACCGCTGACCATCCCGCGCTGATGATTCGATTAATGGAAATATCCTGAGCTGTTTCGCCTGAGTCACGTCGAGTGGGCCGGCAGAATGTCGTGCCAGCCTTGCCAGAGGAGGTTTGCCAAATGCTCCGCAGCGGAGACTTGAGAGTGCGTGAAAACCCCCCGGCCCAACCCATTTGCTTGCCCCCATGGTTTTGGTTCTTTTACTCTGATCGTTTTGCAGGACTTTGGGACTGTATTATCTGAGCTAAAGTTACGAACATTCGTTATCATTTTCTAAAGTTGTATTTTTATAAGGAATTCGATTGCTCTCAACGTACGGACGCATCTACTTAAAAGAAGCTGTCGGGGGTGTTGATCATCCCTCGCGTGTTCCGGCTTCATCCCCGCTCGCACTGTGACACTACATCACTACACACCCTTGCCAGGCACTGCAACAGGCACGGAAAGCACTCTCTCTTCTTCCACACAGCCAAAGGAAGGCGGTTCCCCCATCCCCGTCGCACGAAGAAGCACAGAATCTCTCGCTCTCTCTCCCCCTCCCTCTTGCTTGGTTGCTTGCTCGCTCAGCATCTGGCCTCAAGGTACGGAACCCAGGCACCCTGTGCACGAGGCATTGCGCGAAGATCCGGTTGGAAAACCGAAAAGATTGAGTGTGCAGGGGTCTCTTATCGGACTCCCCCAGCCCCAGTGTACCTCTCATCCGGTTTCTTCTGCACAGATTCTTCACTTCAACCCGGGGTCCAGGGAGCGAGTAAAGCTCCCCGCATCGGAAGGTGCGCCTCTGTTGCGGGGCCTTTTTTGAGGAAGCCGTGAAAAAGACATGGTTCCCTGGTCTGCGGAAACAAGCGAAAAGCATGGATGCAAGGTCAAAAGGTCATAAACAAAGGACGCACAGATTCTCTCTCCCTCTCCCTCTCCCTCT